CTCTCTTCATCTATCTATCTATCTATCTATCTATCTATATATATATATATATATATATATATATATATATATATATATATATTATGTGTGTGGTGTGTTGTGTGTTTGTGTGTTTGTGTGTGAGAGAGTGTGTGTTTGTGTCTCGCTCTCTCTCTCTCTCTCTCTCTCTCTCTCTCTCTCTCTCTCTCTCTCTCTCTCTCTCTCTCTCCTCTCTCTCTCTCTCTCTCTCTCTTCCTTATTTCTTCCTCTATTTCTCCTTCTCTTTTTCTCTTTCCCTTTCTATTTCCATTTCTCTTTTCTCTCTTCCACTCTCACTTCCATTTTCTTTCTCCTTTAATGCAATGCTTGTATTGCAAACGTAGTTCTAATTAATAGCATTTCCCTTGTCACCACACGGGACACTTTAATCAACAATGAATGCAATTAATTTAATTAATGTGGAAGATACATCAGCGAACAGCAGAAGTTAGCAAAACACAATTACTTCTTATAGATACAACTTCAAAACTTAAAAATATATTCGGATATATATATATATATATATATATATATATATATATATATATATATATATATATATATATATATATATTCTGTTTGTATTTCTATTTTCTTTTCTTTTTTTTTTTCATACTTGCACTTCTTAGTATTTTATTACATTATTCTTCATCTATTTGGCCGTCAGTTTATTTACTGGCAACATAATATATATATTTTCCTCCCTCTCTTAGTCGGGCCATTCTTGCACGACGTGAATATGGATGACCTCACGGGGCTGTCATCCGTCGCGAATAATTTATCATGAGGACGCATGGCATGAAATTATCCCAAATCAACAACAGACAAACACAGCTGGAATAGTTAACCGTGTGATGAATAGTCCGATGATTAATTAGATTGTTATATTGTGGTATTATCGTGAGAAAAATATTCGATTTCTATATGTCGGTGATTTCGAAGAATTGGTTGTTTCTGTTTTTTATTTTTTTTTTTTAATAACATTGATTGAAATAGGTATTTACGTGTCAGTTTATCAATAAATGCAGTATATTGTGGCTATTTCTAAATGCAAGCAATTACAAACAGGCGCGTTAATTTCTAAATACCATTAATTGCAATTTGTAGGTCGCGTTGGCTGGCATGTTAGCTTGGCACGATAAGTCAAATTAATAATATTCACGAGAAGAATGTAATATCAACATGGTATAATATTTGCAAGGGGAAAGGCAACACACTTAATAGTGACGGAAATGTTGATCTTTATTATTAATGAAACGGAGCGTGATATCAGTTGTTATCAAAATGAAGTGTCATATATAATATACTCGCAAGTTTATCGCACTGTTTTGGCGCGTGGACAAGACCTTTGAATTATTTGTGTTTTATTATTTTATTATTAGTATGATGTGCTGAATGCGGACTGTGACAGAATAGTATGAAAATACTGATAAGAGAGATTGACAAAATGATAACGATATAATAACTTTATAATGAAAGGGGAATATTCGTTAACTAAAGATGTATATCACGGTGCATAATTGAATAAAATGCGACTTAGTGTTCCTTGTATTGCGAAATCGACGCAGGTAGTGCAACAATAAGCTTATACATGCTCAATTCGGTGGTTTTGTTGGACGCAGCTAATTTTGCTATGCTTTTGTAGTATGTTCAGTTCTAATTCAAAGACGAAACCTTAATGTACAAGAAAGTTTATATATATATAGTTTCAGTTACTCACCTTTAATATTAACACGACGACGAAAATAAATTAAGACAGGTTGTCGCTGTGTATAAATTTTATAGTTGTTTTGAAAACGTTAATCACACCTCACTCTCTCATTGTGGATCTTTTTTCCTATTCCTGCGTCCATTCTCTATTTTCGTTTATCTATTTTCTTTTGCTCACGATTATTTTCTTACACTTCCTCTGCAAGAACGTCTTATCGCTTACACGTGCTTGCGTTCACTCGTGGATCAATTTCCTGTTGTTGTTTTTTCCTCTTCGCACCCGCTTGTTCAATCACTGGCCCGTTAACCTTTAACTAATGATCGTTAAAAAATCCACACATGGCCTCCTCCACGCGCGCGAACCAGCCTTTCAACACCGATATAATAACAAATCAAAAATCAGATGTAAACCGCTTTGCACTGCATTTTTCTTCAGCAACGAATGTCGTCAGGCGTTGGAGTTGCACCGAATGCGACACGATTAATTCCTTCCAAGATGGCGAGCCAAGAGAAGAAAAAAATATTATACGATTAATCACCAACACTAGGTCAACAGTCGTCTTCGAGAGGGGGTAGGGAGGAGAGGAGAGGAGGAGTGAAGAGAGGAGAGGAGGAAGAGGAGAACGGTCACAGAACTCGATCGAGGGAGGCCGGGAGGGAGAGCAGAGTGATGCTAATCTGCGCCCGAAGAGTTAGAGTATGAGAGCGAGTGAGTTCCGGGTCTGTGAATACGAGTGGGTGGATGGGAAGAGAGTGCGCCTGCCTCCCTGCT